TCCACTGTTCTGATAAAAAGAGGAACAAGAAAGTTTGAATTTTACTCCTATACAGTTTGGTCATCTGAAGGCTATTTACTGGTGAACTGATTTCACATCAGCACTAGGGCCTGCCTTCTGACTGCCCAGGCAGGCCCTATATTCCTTCTCTATGACTATCTTTTTGCCATTTCAGCTTCCTAACCACTGTTCTCCTAAGATTAAGAGCTGAGAACAAACCAAGTCAGGTTTAATTTACCATTCCATATTACTGAGCGCTATTAATAAGGACAGAATATTGACGTTTCAGAAATCAAGAAGACCTTAACTTTACCGTGGAGAAATGTATAATCTATGTGGTACAACTGATACACAGACTAAGTATTGTAAGACAGTCTGATAAGACTACCCCACAAGTCTATACTGAGTGCTGTGGTTGAAGAGGAGGACATGACTAGAATGGGTGGCGGTTAGTCAAGGAAGACTTCACGGGGGAAGTACTATTTGAACAGAGCCTTGATGGATGAATAGGATTTTGTCATAACGGGGGTGAGGAGATGGTCAGAAGGGCAGGGCATTTCAGACAAGGACACAATATACAAAGGCTCAGTGGCATTAACAAGTAAATATCATCAGCATGGCTCAAGCTGGGCAGCAGAAACGTGACCACAGCATAAGCAGCCAGCACACTACAACACAATCTTATTATTTCTCCCTGTGCTATCCCTTCATAGAGCTTACTTGGAAGGGGACATCCCACAACCTGGCTCCAAGCCCACATTTCCAGTAGATGCCCTGGTAGCCAGAAACATGGTTCATGTATTTTCTTTGGGAATCTCTGCCAAATGGCCACTCCCGCAGAACCAGAGGGCCCAACTTCCCAGCAGTGCTGGGAGTTCTTTGAGCCATTTTGCTGGTGAAGAATTCTATAGCAAGGGGCTACAGACTGTCGAGGTGGGTCTTGGAGGCAGAGGCAATGGCAAGCCCCTAGGAAGTTAGGACATAGCCCCCATCCTAAGCATAAACTGATATTTCTGAGATAAGCTTTCCCACCACCTATCAAATTCTAGACCACATAGACAGCCACCTAAGTCACATTCCTATAAAAGTGAAACGGAACTCTGGGAAGGAAGGAGACCATCTCTTACCTCTTCCAGACAGAGTGGAGATGAAATTTAGAGTGCTCAGCTCTGATTTCTACCTTGAGGAAATTATTCTTACAAATTTAATGAAACTATGGTTCGGGGCCTAAGTCCTGCTGCATTAGTCCTGATGAAAGCAGCTAGTAAGGCTGGTAGTGGGAGCCAGAGGGGTGAAAGCCACAGAGCAGAGGTGAAGCCGACCCCTGAACCAGGGGAGAGTCCCCTCACAAGACAGTTTAGCTTTTGTGCTCTCCTGAAATCCTGAGTGAGGTCTTCTCAGGCAAATGTTTTAAGAGAAAAAAACGCTATAGCCTGAAATAAGACTGAGGGTACCATCTGGGACATCCAACAAGACATAATACCCTCAACATGGGACACAGGTTGTCCTCTGTATGGTTAGGGCTAGATCTGCTTAGAAATGCAGTTCAAGCAGAGGTGCCAAAAAATAAAGTATGTTTCACTTCTGGACCATTCATCTGCTCTCCCTCATTTTGTATCCTTCCAAAGTCTGGATCTCTAGGTCTGGGGCCTGGGGTAACAAAGGGAATGGGTCTCCCCCTCCCCAAAACACCTTTTATGAAACAGAGACCTTATTCAGATACATGCTGTATTCTTCTAAGCTTTCCCCACGTAGGCTCCCAATGTGTTCAGATGTGCATAATCCATACTGACTGTGATTCCACACCCTAACTTCCCTCAAAGGGAAAGAAAATATTAAGCATTGGGCCATAGGAGCAAATTCAATTTTTCCAGCTCAAGTGAGTTATACTGAGAGTCACTGTGATCACTTTAATTTAGGAGAAATCCTCTCTCTGGGAACAGGGTCTACAATGGGGACTATCTTCGGGCTTTGAGTCAAAATCAATAAACATGTTCCTTTTGTTTTGTTTTCTCAGTTTTTTCTAAACCCAGTATCAGGTTGAAAAGGTAATTATGTTGAGTAAGAAACTGTGGGTACTGTTCTTGAGAGAGATGATTTGTCAAACTAAGAATAGGAAGGTACGAAGGGTAGAGAGTGAAAGAAATGTTCCGTTAACAGTAATTATCTTGGTTGTATAAAGCGTCTTTGTTCTCCAGAGTTTCCTGTACTCACTCGTCTTGTACTTTTTCATTTCTTCTTCTCTCCTCTCTAAAGGATGGGAGTATAGAAGAGGGCAACCATCTGCCTAAAATCACTCCACAGGTCAGCTGGCCATGACACAAGGGGCCCTGTAGCCCGCACCTGTCCACACAGGCAGAAATTTAAGTCCCAAAGCATTCACTCTTCCTCCAACTAAACAATAAATCCTAGTAAGAAACCAGATTGTCCGTGTTTGGGTGCACCCTTGCACCTAACACAATGCCTTGCAAACAGGAGACAGGATAATCATTTAGGAATGAAAATCATTTCGCTTTTCTTCTTAAAAAGAACAAACCAAGAAATGAGGGAATTTCTGTAACCTTGAAGGCAGCCGTAAAGCCTTTCATGATCCAGCCCATGCTGACCTCTCCAGTAACATTTCTCAGCACTGCACCCCGAGGTGCACTGGCTTGCAGTCACCAAATACACTGTACTCTCTCCTCTTGGCCTTAAGGCTTTGAGCTATGTGGAGCTGCTACAGGAACTCCCCTCACTCACATCCACCTGGTCTAGGTGAGGTTCTCTGCAGTCTCCTTGTGCCCTATGCTTCCGGTATTACTGATGGATGCAGAGAGCGCATCTATCAGTAATTGTCTGCCTCGCTTTACACTGTTGGCATTTTTAGGAGAGAGTGTGATATCCCTAGTACTTGGCACAGAGTAGACACAGTAGAAGTTTGTGGAATGAATGTATATGTAAATGTTTGCTTGATAACTGATTGTGTTGTGGGTCCTGGGAGGGAGAGGGAGGTGAGTTGTGTTTGGATGCTTAAGGTCAGAGCTACTTTAAGGAAAGATAGAAGAGAAATTAAGAAAAAGGCATAAATAACAGCTATTTAAAGAGTGGAGGAAAAGAAAAAGGATACTATTGTAGAGACAACTATGGAAAAGAAGCTGCGAAATGGAGGAGTAGCAGGTATATGAATATCTAAATGGGGACTAAACCTCACAAATGGAATCAAGTACTATCGGGGCCACCCCATTCTGCTCTACGTGAAGTTTTCTCTTTGCAGTGTCCTGTGCTGATATATGCCTAGCTCATCTGTAAAAACTAAATGTTCCTAGACTCAGAACTCAATGTAGATGGAGACAAGAAGGTTTCTAAAGAGAACATTCTATATTGGATCCTATCTTGATTCATTAGACCTATTTTCTTATTTCAACTGCAGAGTACAGAAGCAGCTTTTTAAGCTGAGAAGAGAACAACTTTCAACAAAGGATTCATCAATGTGTGCAGTATTATGCAGCCACTTTTGGGGCAGGTTGTGGCAAGGGCGAAATGCTTGAATGTTCTGGAGATGGTGAAACCTGAGAATGAGTTCAGTCAATTCAGTCTGTACTTAGGACCAAGCTGTGCTGGTAACAGGAATCCTGACTTGTAACAGTACAGAACAGCCAAGAGCCTTGAAGCTTCCATTTTGGTACTTACCCTCCTGGTTTCCAGAGGGGGTTTCTTTTTGCTGGGACTTTGGCTGGAAGCCCCCATCTGGGCCCTGAGGTAGGGGGAAAAACCCAGGAAATGTTACTGGCAGCAGCAACATCACCACATTCAAGCAAACGTGGCTCAAATGAATATTTCAGCAGGTTGTCTATTTTTATACCACTCCTGGCCTGCAGAATAAACTGTGTGGCCAAATTATTTTTGGGTGCTGCTTTAATTCACAGTAGAATCCCAATTTGAGACATTTAGGGATCTAGGGGTTGAGAAAGAGAAAATGTGATTGACAGCAAGTATCAGTTTTTGAAATACTTGATCATGCATCAAAACCCAGAATAAGGGAAGATGTGATGCTCCATCTCCATGGAAAATTTAGTCAAATGGAACTGAGCAAAATGTCACAACTCCAAGTACCTTCACATTGAACCTGGCTTGGAAGAGAATTTCCTAACTCTTCACCAACATGTGCGTTTGGAGGGCGTAGGGGTCAGATCCCTCATGGTCTACCTTCACTGTTCCTGGATGTCTTGGAGCCACACAGTACCAGGAAAAGAGCAGCTGCTCTCTGTGAGCCTGGGCTGAAAGCACTTTGGACCGGGGAGCAAACTACACCTTGCATTATCCCAGCATCCCTCTCCGGGTGCTAATAAGAACCGAATTGTCCCCGCCAGAGAATCAAAAGAAACTAAGTAGCCACCACACTAGCGACTTCACCATGTTAGAGACGGGATCAACATTCTCCCTAATATCGCAGCGCCTCACCCAACAACTGATGCATACCCTCTTGCAGACATTTATATTTTAGACTGGACTAACTTTTAAGGTAGAGTTCTGAAGCTTATTGCTCACCAGGTAAAACAGAATCACTGCTTCTTTGTTCTTAATCTTTGAAGGGTCTATGTTCTGTACAACGTTCTAGGACTAGTTCAGTCCTGTGCCTCTGACTGGTTTCCAGCAGTAGGACCACAATAAGGACTCGGCAAATGTACTGGACTCAACCATATAGTTCTTACTGCATTTCTCCTCAGCCTTCCTCTTAATGAAGAGAAGAATCCTATTTTGCTGAGGAAGGCACTATGTTTAAATTACATTACATTTTTTTTCCCTTAGTCCATCCACTGGAATAAGCAGTTACCAATGAAGCCTTGAGAGAGAAAGTGACTCTCCCAAGAACATGATCGACCAGCAGCAACAGCTGGCAAAGCCTAACCAGGATGTAGGGGTTAGACTCTCTCCCAACACCACTGACCTGGCCAGCCCTGGCCTGCTGGGGGAGCTCGGTGCTTCGATGCATTTTCGCTTCTTCATCATGGCTCCTGCTGCTTTCCTCTCAGTTTGGACCTTTGGAAAGAAACCAGATGCCTGTGACTCCTCTTTTTGCAGAGTTATTCAGAGTTGATGAGGGCACAGTGAACTCCCCATCTTTCAGTTGCCAAAGGCAACTTTGTCAGCTTTGCAAGTAAGGGTAGATATTCTGTTAGGGAGTCTCAAAAATCTAGCCAAGGAGGAAAAGGTGGTCTTATGTATACAATTCTTATTGGACCTGGGCAGCAACCAAGGTGCAAAATAAGAGGAAGAGACTAGAGCAGGTCATTACGGACAACATGAAGCAGTAAAGGCAATTTTCATTTTATACAGAAAAGGCAAAC